CCCCCCCCCCCCCCCGAACACACACTCAGGCCAAGATCCAGTCAGCTCCATTGTCCCTTCCAGATGAAAGCACATGATATGCACCATATGTAGCTTTAGGTGTATCTTACGTAATACCATCCCGCTCTCTCCTGTTTGCTCGCAACTTTCAACATCAGTTTAATCAGCTCATCTGTCAAATTTTCATGCAATCACCCGTTGATATCTTATCATCTTCACGATTCTACCCCTGGCCTGGAAAAAAATCCACTTGTCAAATCGTGGTATTTAAACGACAGTTACGAGAAATCCAATTGGATTACATCACGAATATGGTCGNTAGAGCAAATGTACAGGCAGGCGTTTCAAACATTTTTTTTATCTCATCGGCTGATTCCGTATGCTTCCAACCAAATTGCAACCCTGAAGACTTGTGACTAGAAGAGCGATATGTGTTGCGCTATGTCGGATGTAAGTAGAACGAAAAACGGTACGATAAGCTGCCTGATTTTCAGGTGCAGTGTACATGCACAAAGCGTTCTTCCGCTGATAAGTTCTGGGGTTTTCTCCTAAACTGGATTCATTTGATTCACATAGCTGATGAGACCCAAGCAGAGCCAAACAGATGAATCGGGAATCCTGGGTTTTTATTTTCCGCCTAATTTACTTCTTACATGACTAAAATCACTGTATTTCGTCTGTTTTTCTCAAAGAAATAACTGTATCCAATGTTTGATTTTACCTTATTCAGCGGGTCTTCAGTTCGAATAGTAGTTCGCGTAACTCGAATGCTACTGCAGTTATGGATAATGCATCGGTTACTATGTGTAAATCATCGACGAAAGACTTCAAGTCCACATTCCGTCCAGATCCAAGCACTTTACGTCAGATGCCCTGGGACAGACTAAATGTGAACTTCTTTGACCGGGAATTTTTGACCATTCTTGATTTTCATTTTTAATACACACTAAAAACTAATGTATCAAATAAAATGACATACATAATTGATGCCTGTATTGATTTCCTAACACTACACCTTTCCCGATCAAGCTTTAGTGAAACTCCGCAATGCTTCAGTCACAGCATGCTGTCGTTTAGCTTCAACGCACAAACCTTAGTCATGTGGCTGTAAGCGATTGAGATAAAAAAATTATCGGAATATTCTGAAATCAACGAATGTTTATTTGCTACAAAGATTGATATTGTAAAGTTGGGATAATAAATGTTAACATGTGGGTCTAATAGACGACACATCTGATTTTCGTGGTCGTATCAAATACCGTACCATATATTGATTGGAGAATGTTCAAACAATGCGCCCGTATCGTCGGACCATTTGGCACAGTTTATATGGCTTCAATGTTTTGCACTATACCAGTTTTTATTGTGCTAAATAATAAAAGTGAAACTTGAGTATTAAAAATACTTAACTGTTTGAGTTTATTGGATTGTAAAAATTTCTTTCCAATAGACAGACCGCTCCTAAAGACTCGAACTAATGCGTATGTGTGATGACTAAATTGTGTTCGAAACTGGAGTGTTGATGATTTCTCTGCCCATATGGACATAATTTCTCCTTCCTAATAAACAGTGCGAGGAACATACCACGTCCTCCTGTAGCATGACTCTCCAATCCCTTTCATGAGTGGTATGCGGTAGTAGTTGATTCCCCAGAACAAAGGAGAAACGAGTCCTGTGTCGCATGAAAATAAATTTGCATTTTGAAACATTGAATTCGAGGTCATTAGCGATTGACCATCGATGTGCTGCATTGATCGTTTATTGGACTATTATATGATCCTCTGAATGTGTAACAGTTCTCCTGATATAAGCGTCTTTGGCAACTAGTATTCAATTAGGCTCAAGGACCTGTGGAAGATAGAAAGAAAAAAGAAAAAAGAACGAGGCCCCAGTACGGCCCCCTTGAGGAAATCCTCAAGGGGGCCGTAATAGGCTCAGATAATGAATTACCAATACGGATTAACATGGTTCGTTGTAGGAGAAAACCCTCGAGCCAGTCGAGAATGCCTCCTAATCCGTAGTTGTAGAGTTTTCGCAGTATCGGGAATCATTGGCGTCGGCTGCTATTTTCTGCTAACCTTGCTATTGTTCACTCAATTTGATCAATAATTTTACAATACATCACATATTCTTATCCCTCTTCCCCACGGTTATCTCATCTGATTGGATCGTTGCAGGACCTTCTCGAAGCGATCACGAATCGAATGACTGGGGTTTTCACGCAGGAACAACGAGAAGAGTTCACCTCACTCACACAGCTGAACAAATTCGAGTCACTCACCGCGAATGAATTGGACAGTCTGATGGCTCTGGCCGAACGGTTGTACGGTATTCAAAATTTGTAAGTCTCCTATCTGTTCATGATGATTCTGTTTTGGGTATCCAGTGTTTTTTTTATGCAATGATCTATCCGATCGGTGAAATTTCCGGGGGATATCCTGTAATGCACCGGATATCAGTTCAAGATTGTTTTCAAGTTTACCTCTTTGATAAATTCTCTTCGTTCTAGACAATAAGCTTTTTACTAGGGCTCGCTTGTTTTTGTATTGGACAGAAGTTTCTGAAGTTCAGATGCTGTGTCCGGCCCAAGTTGGTTTGTCAAATGTGGACCTGATGAAAGATCTATCTTTCATTATGGTGAGTTTAACAATCATGAATTGATAGGATATCTCAGATTTATGTTCCATAGACAAATTTCGATATGGGAGTAACAACAATTTGATGAGTTCGGTGTGCCTCGCGCACAACAACAACAACAACAAAAACAAGCGTGTCGTCAACATAGAAGAAGGTGAAATAGTAGAAACCCTAAATCAGGCCGATTGAAAAGGGGTGACGTTAACTGAGGAAACGGAAGGTTAGAACCAAACAACCCCGGACTAAAAAAAGCAATTAGAGAATCAGAAAAATGATGAGTTTTGTGCTTCAATTCCACTGATATCATCGATTTGACTATTTGGCAGTAAGTAGGTATTTCTTGGATGGGAAGAGCCTATAAGGTTTCTTTTTTTGTTCCACACAACTTAGCAAAGTCAATTCATGGAAAATTGGATTTGGTAGATGTAATCTGTGACATCAATGAAGCCGGTACAGCTTCTTACGGCAGTAAGCAGCATAAAAGGGAATGATAAATTGTCAATCTATCAGACACACGTTTTAGACCTGATCGAGGTTGTATCAACATCTTCACTGTTAGTCAAATCCTAGAACACAGACACACACTTTGTAGACCCACCATTTCTATCTTCCTCGATCTAAAGGCGGCTTTCGACTCAGTCGATCACTCCAAACTCTGGCGCCTTTGCTTGAAGGGTGTACCCGAGAAATTTATTTCAGTATTACAATCCCTATATAATAATAACCGACGCCGGGTCCAAGCTTACCGCAATTTCTCACCCGAGTTCACCACGGAAAGTGATGTTGGTCACGGTTGCCCTCTCTCTCCTTTTCTATTTAATTTTGTAATAGATTTGATTATGGAAACAACCCTATCCTCGTGCAAGGATAGTGGCTTCGTTTTACCTCCAGGTGGCAGGCTGTCTGATTTAAATTATACAGATGACATTATGCTGCTAAGTGAAGATCCAGGTAAGGTACAAGCTTTTCTGGATAGTTTGAGTGTCATTGTGGTCATGTTCGGTATGCGCTTTGCACTTCCAAAGTGTAAAATGGTACCATAGGACTGGGTTGGTCCAGCACCCAGCCTAACTCTAACTGGGGAAGTAATAGAGCAGGTGGATAAATTTTGTTATTCGAGCGGCTACATCTCACCCGGTTGACGCATCACGGATGAAGTGTCAGCTCGCATGCAGAAGGCTCAGTTGGCATTTGACAACTTGAGACATCTGTAGGGCTGTCGAGGCATCCGACTGTCTGTGAAAGGTCGAGTGTATGCTGCGGCAGTTCGGCCAGTTCTGCTATACGGCACAGAAACTTGGCCATCAAGAAAACAGGATAATGATAGATTGTCGGTGTTTGAACACCGCTAACTACTCAGCATTGCGCGAATCCGGTGGGGCAGCCGGAAGAGCAATTCTGAGGTTATGCGCTGAGTTTTAGGTAACTGAGGTTCTCCACTGGAGCAAATTGTCGACCTCCATAGATTACGTTGGTTGAGGCATGTGTTACGCATGTCATTGGATAGTTTGCCACGGTGAGCAATGTTCACCGAGGCAGGTAGTAGGTGGAAGAAAGCCAAAGGTGGTCAAGCTAAGACTTGGCGTCAGAGTATCAAAATCCCAACCGGGAGAATAAATCACATAGGTTCCTTTAAACTCCCTGGCTGGGGACCTTGGGATGATGGTCACGGATAATTAGAGACACTGAGTATCGTAAACAATGGCGTTCGTGCATCTTGTCAAGTTATCTGCAACATTAATCCACTTAGATTCTAAATTTTCTCTTTGATTCTACTCTCAACCTTTTCTGTCTTTCTCCTAATGTTCATCCAAACGGGCGGCCAAAAGACAGCTGCCAAGACCGGCACAGAATCATGCATGGTTAATGGGTGTACAAAATGAACTGAACTGAACAGTCTATCAGACACAAGACCTGGTACCTAATTTTACATCCTGTGATTAATCCATCTAAGTATATGGAAATTGTGAGTAATCCATAATGATCAAATTTATGACAGTTCGAAACATGACTGGTTGCTCCAATTTGTTATCTCTAGATTAACTCCGGTTGGCTTTAAGGGTTAAAAAATTCGTTTCAACACTGGATGGTATACTTCCAATCCGACTTAGCCCACAGACGTAAACTTTGCTCACGCAAACGAAGATTCATCACCTGATGCATACCTGGGCGGCATTAGTTCAGCAGGAAAGAGCGCATCAAACTACGGGCAAAATTGATCGAACTGGTTGAAAGGGAATATGATACTGAGTGCAATGCTGACTACTATGCGGTATAAAAAGGTACAAAACTAAAGCCTCGGCTCATTGCAAACTCTGTTTCACTCATTTCCTCTCACTTTGAACGAGCCTCCTTGATTTGCAGTTTTCATTGTTGTGACCTTGACACCATGATTGTTTCCTGGCCTCGTTTATCGAGATGTGAAGCTTGTGAGGGTGACCCAGCTAAGTCTATCAACAAGAATCAGTCCCTAACTGCCAAACTCAAACAAGGCATGTAGTCCGCAAGTTGATTGACTCCACCTGATTGCAGAAATCAATTTGCGTGCAACCCGATTCGTTTTCGTAGGCGCACAAAACAAGTCACACTGTGTTAAGATGATATGGTAGCTGGGCTGGCTGGTGAGAGTTAGACTCAATCTGTACTAGTAGTATCGTTTTTTTAAATCTTCTCACAGACTGCCGTAAAGGCACACACACATACACACATGCACTTTGAGTAGGTGTATGTGGATCAGGTGTATGTGTATCAGGATAGTGTGAAACCTTGAGCAATGATTTCTACTATTTATAGCGCACTGATTCGATTTCCTCTAGATTATATCAGTTCTATTTATTTCTGTGTGTATCACGTGATCCCCGATCATTTTTCCACCCCGCAGTTACACACACACAGAGACCACGACTGAGATGAAGGCAAGTTTGAAACCTAGTTGAATGTGCATTGAATATGTTTGCATAGTTTGCGGAATTCCGAGACAAGCTCATCCCGCTATAAACAGAAGGGTCCTAATCTCGTTCCATCGGAACGCATCTACTTTGACGCTGCCTGTCCTCGTAAAGAGCGAATCGGACTATAGTTCGTGTAGGGTTTTCGATTAACAGATCTCGGCCAATAGTGCCTCCCAATCGCCGTTTTATTTTTGCGTCTAGGACGAGAAAATGTCATCGGTTTTTATGTTCGTCGGTAATCCGATTGTACGGAGTGAGCGCCAGTAAAATAAAAATAAAAATAAATAAATAAATAATAAAAATAAAAAATAAAAAAATAAAAAAAATAAAATCCACTCTTCTGATTTTTAGTTTAATCAGAGGAACACGTTTTCCAAGTATCGATTATACAGAATGGTTTAGGGTGTTTGTCATTGAGGTCTTGTTTCTGAGTAAAACTCCATTCTATTCTCTTGTTCTTTCTATGGATTAAAGGTGATCCCAAAACCGGCCATCCGAGGACTCATTTTGGTGACGTAATTCTTTAGTTCGAGTGCACCTAATGAGTATGCCAATGATATTACCTTACTGGGTGACAACGCACAAACGATTCAAGAGTTTTTTTTAATAATTTCAGCTGACTATCCTTCGGACTTTACCTTCACGCACAATTCTCGGTTCATCGATTCAACCATACACTCGGAAGCACTAGACTCGAGTTTCGCTCTTATTAGAGCTCATCAGTAGTGCATATCCACCGTCCTGTCCGGGATTTGAACTCCGGACCAGTCAGCTCAAATTATTAAAATCCAATTATCCCACACCACTACTCACAAGTTACTGTGCATCAAACTTGAGATTCAAGAGTCGTTGAACCGTATGGCAATTGAGGTTACTCGGTATGGTATATCATTTGCATCTTCAAAGTGCAAAGTGTTGTTGCAAGATTGTCAAGAACCCATTCCTGCACTTTCGATGGGTAATGACACCCTGGAAGTAGTCAAAAGCTCTGTCTACCTTGGGAGTTGCACAACGGCTAGCGGAGATGTGGGTGAGGAGATCTCTCAATGCGCGATCAAAGCTAGAATAACGTTTATTAATCTGCGGCATCTCTGGCGCCGGCGCGACACATCCATTTCACTGAAATGGCGGGTGTATTGCGCAACAGTACGCACCGTGTTGCGAAACCTGGTCTCTCCGAGCAGATCCCATCCAGCGACTATGAGTCTTCGACAGTCGTCTGTGCAACATCGCCAGTGTACGGTGGGAGCGTCGCATGAATAACGATGAAGTCAGACAACAGGTGTTAGGGTGCTAGGATCAGACAGTCTTTCGTTGAGCAAAATAATCTCACAGTATCGTCCTAGATGGCTAGGGCAAGTACTACGAATGCCTGAACAACCTCTGCCACACGTTGCGAACATCGGTCCAGGCTTCCAGCTTCAGCTAGGTGGACAGGCTATGACATGGCACAGGGGGTTAAAGAGATTGTGCTCGGAGCTGGCTTCCGTTTGGGGTTTCCCGGCTCCCCAGCTGGACCCCCAAAGATTCAGATCGTCTTTGGATGGAGACACTGTGGGATATGGCACCAAACCAAAGTCAGTGGCGCGAATGCATCTTCTCCGTGCAATCCCAAAATTAAAAAAAACGAAATAAAACCCAAAATGGTATGCAGTGAACAAACAAAAAAATTGCCACTCGCTGAAGTTGACTGGTTTATTTTCCTCGCTTTTGTACCTATACTTTTCGTTCACCCATAGTTATTTTGGCTCCCTATCTGTAAAGATTGGTGTTATATATATATATATTACAAAAAGTAGTATGTGAATGACTGGAAAAAATTTCCCTGGAAGCACAAGACCGGTTTCGCTGTTTTTGCTGCTCGTCAGGCATCCGGTAATCTTTTACCAGTTCATTCATATGAATGAACTTGTACCCAGGAACTGTATTTTCGTCACAACAACCTTGTTTGCAACATCGGGTGACCATTGGATAGACAGTTCTTTCAGAACCAGTCCATTGTAGAACCAATGCTATGATTCGATGTGTTGTAAGTGGGTTAGATGCTACTAACCGCAACAAACGTGACCTGACTGTCTTTATAGAATAAAGATATATATACCGAATGAATCCGATTGAGCTCATCGATTTCATTGATCGACCAACTGAGTTCATTATTCATCAATATTACGTGGTTTATGTACAGTTCTATGGCGTCGGACATTGGTCGTTGTGGTGGTGGTGGTGGCGGTGGTATTAGTGTCCATCTGATCAAGGAGAAACATTTTGGCACATGGGTCGGATACCGTAAAAAGGGTGGAGGGTGTGGAGGGTGAGGCGAAGCAGTTGTTGCCTCATTTTTCTCTCCAGCGCACGCATTCCACAGTATCGTAAATTTGTATGATATTACATCCACATGTGTGTGATTGCTTTGTTTTTCTTGTATTTGAGTCACATTGTGAAACAAATCGTGTTTTCCATTTCACCAAGGCAAGTCCCAAACCCGGCTCTCTCGCTCTTGTTACCGAGTACACTTGAAAAGGCGGATTTCTTCAATCTGGGAAGAAAACTTGGCCAAGTGGAATTACGTAATCGGCTCCGGAAATTACTCGTGAAATTGGAAGAAGTATCTCGTATGGATGGGAACAATGTGGATCATCTACTGCTCAATGTATCCGCCCCGGAGTATCCTGTTG